TTATTTTAGTGAAAAATGTCAATATGTGACATTCTAGTATTATTTATAGAACGTAATCCATACCAATCGATGAATAAACAATTTGCACAATGCTGGTCTACTGTTGTGTATCATGTCGTTTACAATTATTGCATCACCATTGCGTCATTTTCGTAATATTGCATCACCAAAACTAAAATAATAAGAAAACGATAAAATATCGTAAATATTCTATATTGAAAGAATACTTTTCAGTTTGTTATTCTTTGAGGACATCATTGAAAGAAGTCCAAGAATGTAAGAGAAAATATGAACAGCATTCTAGAGGCACATTAAATTATGTGATGGTGAATAGATTTAGCATGAAAATGTAGCCGCAAATAGAGAATGTATGTTTGAAAATGTTATTCTGTTCTTTCATCACATTAACAAGACTGTGGTTAAAGTGAACAAGTACCCTAAGGAAGCATCTTAATAAAAAGATTCGACTTGTTGAGTGAAAGAGTCTCCCATTATACGATTCTCATTGCCTCTATAAAGATGTCCATATTTTTTCTGAATTCTTTGAACTTGTTCAAACCAGATTCACGAGTCTCTGATATGTTTAGATTACAATGGCACTTGATTCAATTGAACTCCCAAAGATCATTACTAATCTAGAATGGCTAGAAGCTCGCGAACTTTTACAAACAAAATTTGATCTAGCAATTGATGAAACTGACAAATTGTTTTGTGCTAAATATGTACATGACAGTCATTTATGGAAACATGGTACAGAAGAACAAAAACTTATATTAACACAGAATCGTGGTGCAATCTATGAAAAGAAACCTCCATATCGTTTAGTTTGTTTACCATTTTATAAATTTTGGAATTATAATGAATCATACGCTCCTACTATGACTGGTCATTGGAAATCTTTTACCGAAAAGTTAGATGGTACATTTTTTAAAGTATACTATTTTCAAAATGAATGGCATATCAGTAGCAATAGTCGAATTGATATTAAACAATTTCGACAAAAATATATTCGTTGTGGTAAAACAAATGAACAATTATGGCAAGAAGCAGCAACAGAAGCTGGCCTTGATTATTCGAAATTAAATAAAAGATATGTATATTTTTTTGAACGTGTTCATCCAGATTATAAAATTGTTATACCATATGATAAACCAATGTTGTATCATTTGGGTACTCGTGATATGTTGACATTGAAAGAACTTGAAATTGATATTGGTGTACCAAAACCACGATCATTTCAGTTTTTAGACTTAAATGAGTGTTTACAATATGTAAATAAAATGCATTTCACGGAAGGAGAAGGTATTGTAGCATGTGATATGCAAACCTATGATCGTATTAAAATTAAAAGTCGTTCGTATTTAATAATTCATTATCGCACAGTTGGCATGGAAAATGAACATAAACAAGGACAATTCTGTTTAATTATTTGGTTGCAAGGTGAAAAACAAGAATATTTAAATTATTTTCCAGAATATATTCGCGAATATGATCAAATTGAAAAAAAACTCGAGAAAACAATTATTCCAAATTTAATCAACGAATTTACAAAGTTTTACAGAAGTGAAAAGAAAGAGTTTTTCAATAACCTTGATCGTGAATACCCATCATCAGGAAAACCAGATCAAGACAGAAAAAGACAAATCTTCATTAAATTATTTCAACAATATCAAAATGACAAATGGTCTCAGTTAGTCGATGAACTAAAGTTTATAGCTGTACGAACTATTTTGAGAGAAAGAAATACGAATAATAACGAAAAATTCATTTTTGAAAAATATCTTCGTTCATTAATTACAGTGTAATATTTCCTTCAAAAGAAAAAAGAATTACATGAATTCTCTTTTAATATTGATGTCAATGTTGATATTAAATAGTAAAACAAAAACAATACTACTTCAACATAGCTGAAACAAGTGAAATATCAAATGTGATACAGTTGCATTCAAAGAAATTTCTATTCAAAGCACACTGTATCAAGTTCGACTATCTAATTGGCGTGGTAAACAATAAATATGTTGTCATATACTGTGTATTTTGAGGATCCGAAAGAAATAATCGACATTACTAAATTATTTAAGGCATCTGCATGAGTTTTTCTTAAAAGTAGATTCAAACCAATATTCACAACAACAATCGCAAATCGAGATGTCTGAAATCTTTTTATAAGTTAGATATGAATGTATAGAGGAGCCCACCTACACCTTGAGAAATGCCTCTTCAAATTACAAATATTTGATTATACTATATCAAAACACATAGAGAAGTACAAATAACATCATCAGTCAATTTAAGTAAAAATCACGAGTATTAAAACAAAAAAAATACGGTTCAATTGTTATCATTCTGATCATCGATTTAATGGAAAACATACTGAATCGAAAATTGGTTGATTGGAAATTTCGACAATTTTCGAATTCCACTGTAGTTTCGAAAAATTTTAAAATTCCAATGAAGTTGAGATAATATTGTCGAATTTCCACTATTGCTCAAGCTCATAAGAAAATTATAACAATATCCATTTATTGCTGGAAATGTTATTGTTCAAATTGCAATGGTATTTGGTGTTTGAATATTTATTATTAGCGTCATATTAGTTTAGAAACAAGGATATCTCTGTTTCTATCAAACATTACAGTTCCAGCTATTGTGAGTATTATCCGAATTCGATCGAAATTTAGACAATCAAATTTCTAACAATAGATGATATTATTATATTACAATGGTATTTGAGCATTATTGAAATTCATATGACGAAATTTTAGTTGGTCAATTCGCATTATTTCAAAGAAATTCGTGTGGAATTACTTTTGAATTTATGAGCAATCGTCCAATGACTGTACTCCTGGCTATGCTACTGCAATGGATCATTTGCGTTGGAGGTGAACAGGGTGTTTCAAGTCAAAAGCGTGTGCCGACGTAACAAAATAGTTCAAAGTATGTAGAATTAGTTTCAAGTTCATTGAAGTACTTTTAGGTAAAGTAACTTATTTTAAAATAGTTTTCTATTCAATGTGCGCTGTTTCCTCTTGGAATCCTTTATGCTTTTTCTTTTTCTTGTAAATAAATCATTGAAATATTTACATAAGACTATAATTTATATTTCTCTTTTTTGATTTATACATAACTATCAATTACTTGTTGATATTAAAAACAAAATATAAACTTAGAGTTAATTTTATATTTGAAAAAAAATAACCATCATTATTTACGAATAAACATAAGAGAAACTATTCATAAAAATCAAACATTACTTTTTGGTTGATATTGTATATAATTATGGATCGATTCTCTTGATACTAAGGTCTATTTACTATTGAAAGAGCTTTCTAAAATATTGGGTTGATGCAAAATTAACGACCGTTTTTGTTAGCGATCATTTTATTCTCGCTTTCCTTCTTTTCTTTTTGCTATTTGAAAGAATGTTATTGCAGATAACATTCTTTCTATTCTCTGCTTTTGTTCTTTTTTATCTGATGAAGAAATACTTGTGATGTAGTGACTAAGCAGTTGTTGAATAAATTTAGAATCAATAAAAACGGTCGTTAATTTTGCATCAACCCAATACTATACATTGATTTAAACAGCACATAATCATTTAATTAGAACACCTCTCACAAGATATTTTATTTCAAAACGTTTTGTATTTTTTCCTCTGAATCTCGATATCCATTTTGGTATAAAATAGCTTTCGGGTGCAGGATACCTATTCCGAACAGTATAGCTTTCCTATAGTTCAATCAAAATATGTTACATACTGGAAAAGATAGACCTGAATGTTTGAATACATACAATAAATCTGAAAAAATAAATTCTTGTAATATTTTGCTCATCATGTTCCAACGCTGCAAGGTGCTCTTACTGCTTTAATTACTACCATTCTTATGATGTTTGTCTGATATGTTCATCTGTGAGATTAGCTTCATTGATATGAGTTATATGAGATTGAAACATAGCGCTTTACATGTAGTATATTTCTTATTAATATCAAATCAAAGTACTATTTAAAACAGAGCATAGTATTCTAGAAAAACCTCTTTCAATAGTTACAGACATTGGTGCCATCAGTATAGATCTATAATCATATGTAACATCAACTAAAAAGTAATGTTAGATGTTTTTAAATAATTTCTTCTATTTTTCTTCATAAAAAATAATGATTATTTTGTTTCAAATGGAAAATTAACTATAAGTATATATTTTATTGTTAATATCATCAATCAATTTATAATTATTTAATATTTACTTGGATATATGTAACTTCGATACGATATATACATTAAGTTGTGTTAGATATACAAATAATGAACTCTAGACAACTATACTAGATTATAATAAATTACATCACAAACGATAGAAAAGTGAAAATATCGAGAAAAATTATGATCAACGACCGAAATAGCCGACCTTTCTTTAACAAAACGGATTCAACTCAGAGTAATATTCACTTATTGAATGTCATCTTATCGATAAATAGGTAGACAAGCAAGTTATCTACATTGATAGATCATATCAGAGACTGATGGAACAATAAAAATTGCTTCGTCAAGAGCCATCAAGAATTTTCTAGTGACTGTCTCGTGTTTCGCCTAGAAATATTTAATTCCATTTCATTTCGTGAACATCTTTTCTACAAAAAGATCAACGTCATACCTATATGTTAATTTCTTTCTTAACCGAAAAAAACATTGTCCAATCAAAGAAGGTCTTGAGAACGGGATGTTGCAACAATACACATAAGTGATTATATATTAAAAATCTCCATTTCAGACAAAGTTTTGTTATTTCATCAGACGTATAAGGCAGAAATAAGATTCAGTCCTGCCTATTTCATGATCTTCCGACTAACATGCTATCCTCTATCGTGACAAGACGAGATTGATCTTGTGTTTCATCATTCTATCGATAATCTTTCTCATTAGGCAGAAAATTTATTTCTCCGTCTATGATGAATATATAAATATTGACAACACAGTAGAATTATTTCATTTAAAAAAAAGATGTGTGACCATTTCGATTGGGATAACAATGGTAAAAAACTAACGATTTCACTTCGTAATTGTTCACATGAAACATGTGTAGCACTCACTCAACCAACTTATTGGCAAGAAGTAAGTTTTGAAATTAATCATAGGATAATATATTTTTATTCTATAAAAATATTATTTAGTTAACGAAAGATACATCGATTTCAATATCAACAAATGGAAAGTTTGTTCCCAAAGAATTGGAAGAAATAATTGATTATGATAATCCTTCAAGACTTCAACTTATTATTCAGACAGAACATGAAAAAGACAAACAAAGATTAGAAGGTTTGTTTGTTTTTTTTTTGTATTTAATAATTCTATTAATCGTGAATGAACTTTTCTATTAAGACATTTCTTGGATAATTTATCATCGATTTTTTGCTTATCCACGTGAGGAACCTAAACAATGGGAAGAGGATGTATGTATATACTAAGTGTCATTGATACATGAATTTCTTTTACTTATATATTTAGTATGATAATAACAAAATAATAGTCTACGGATCTCTGTATAATTCTCTTTCTATCTTAAGATTTTATACAAGTCAACGTTTGCTAGGCACATATGTTTGTATTAATTAGATTTATAATAATCGATATTCGATGAAAAAAAGATTCTATTTTTACTTTAGAATTCTAATATAATAGACATTGAAAATCGGTTGGGAATTTCAATTACTATTGATCAAACTTTGCCAAACTTTTATCGTTTTTTAACTCGGTAAGTATAAATAGAGAAGATTTTTTTTGATGTTCAATTATTTGTAACGAGTGATTGAAAAATAAGTGAGTAAAAAATGTTCATGCCTTTTTTTTCAATCTTTTAAAGAAGCTGTAGAAATTTCAAAAACATTAAGTTAGAATCGAAATTTTGTATTCTTTTCTAATAAAGGTTCAACAGTTTTAGAATCATTATTCAAGAAACCGCTGAGTTAACTTTACCAATCTGTTTTTCCCTAGAAGTCAAAAGAGTTGCCTATATTGACACAATATTCCTTACCAAAATACTCTTTGTTGACCAATGACTGGCAGCAAACGAATAATTAGCATAATATTTTTGATAGAGAAATCTGTGCTCTTACATTCGTTCTATTTGAAAGAATTTTCATTTATACTTTCTATAATTTTTGTGGTACACTAAAGTTTGTCCAAACTTGATTTATGGACTTCTGAAAGGTTGGCTCATAATTTCTAAATCAAAAGTACGACAAAAATGTAGAATCCATATCCGAAAAGAATACAAAGTTCTGATACAAAACTAATGCTATCAAATATGTGTAGACTCTTTTGAGAGGCTTAAAAATCAATGAACATTTTGTCAAATTACTTTTCGATCACCTTCGTTATTTAGACACATTTTCTCGAACGTAAGAAAAAGAAGAATTAAAAACAAAATTTCATTGGTTTATTCTAGTAACATAGATAAGACTATTATCAACGTTTTTATTCTTCTTATTGAAACTCTTGTGAAAAAAGCTCAAAATGAATACTTAATTGCATTTACTTTTCGTTATGCACCACCTATAGTAAGATCTGTCATTCAAGTGAAAGACTTAAATCAACGTGCAAGATTACCATATACGGAAAGCTATCAACGAGTGAGTATATAATATTTGATTTCTCTTAATATAGTTTAAAATAAATTTTTCATAGAAACGAGATGAGCAAGATGAAAAACAATCGATAACAAACAATACGAGTAAGTTATATCAATGTGTTAGAATATGAATTGTTTTCTTTTGCTTATTCTAGAACGATCAAAAGCTGATTCGAATCAGAATACCAAAGATGAAATAACTCCTGAAGAAAAAATTTGTCAAACTGGCCATTCTGATTTACATATTAGTTAGATTTATTTCTTCAATATTTAATAATATGAAATATGCTACTGCTTATGTAAAGACATTCAGAAAACTTTTTTTTCACGCCTAATTATAATACTGTATTAGATGAATTTGTATATTAGTTTGATAATTATGTGATTCTAATGATGCGTGTATATAAAAGTTTAACCCTTTTGAAAAAAATATATGAAGTACACCAACTTACTCATGAAAAAAAATTTTGAATAAAATCGCGGTCAAACGCGGTTTCTGATGCTACGGTTTTCTATAACTCAAATACCGTGTCGAAGTTAAGGGGGAAAAGCGAGACTCACTCTACTACAAAAAAAATTGGAGTACAACTGGAGTAGAGGTGGAGTACGTACTCTAGGAGTCTCCCTTTTCCCCCCATGGTTCTTAATCAAATTATGTTTGTATTTTTATTTCATTAATCCTCCATCTTTTGCTATATATCTCAAACAACTTGATAAGATATTTTCCAATGTCCCTTAGATTATATTTTCCACAGAAAAATCTGAACTATTTACAAAAGAAAATTGACTGAAAGAAATTTCGTATTTAAGCAGTAATGACCAAAATAGGGATGTGGGTGTAGTGTGTAGGGATGCAACATTGGCGATAACCGTACCTACGGTTATTGGTCCGATTACGATAATCGTAGGTACAGTTATTGGTTCAAACCAATTGTCACGAAAATAACATTTTTTAAGAAAATAATGATTTTTTTATAAAGGTTGACGAAAGTAAATCGGGGTCGAGAAATTCGAACATGTTATTAGTTTTTTGGAATTTTGAGTTTGAATTTTCCATGAAAGGATCTCTTTCTGAAAGTTATGGTTTTCTTAAAAAACTTTTTTCACGAAAAAGTCATTTTTCTTTACAAAAACTACTTTTTTCTAAAAGAAAATTTGGACGGAAAAAATGAAACTCAAATTTTTGAAAAACTGATATCAGATTCGAATTCCCCGACTCCAATTCACTTTCGTCAACCTTTATAACAAATTATTTTCGTAGAAAATGCTGTTTTTCCTGACAACCGGTTTGGACCGGTGAAACGGCGACGGTTAACCGGTGAATGATCGTCACCGTTGCATCCCTAGTAGCGTAGTGTCGTGAAATAGAACACCCACATTCACATCCACACCCATACCCAGAGAAGCTGGTTTGAAACAACTTTTTAGTATACGAAATACCGTCGACAGAAATAGGACGTCAATTCATCTTATCTGACTTCACACGTGGACAACCAAGGGTTTGTATTTCTTTGTTTTGTAGAAACATCAAAGTGACAGTAACTCGAGATGATTCTTATCTTTGCTATACTGCAAGACTGAATTCGTTTAAACGCTCACACAAAAATGCCCTTCCGACAGTAAATATTTTGATCAAGATTTATTTTCAGATGTCTTATTCATATACGGTCAATGATTTCGATGTAGTAACGTTTAGATCTTTGAAAAGCGATTCTGAACGTTTTATTTCTGCAAAGAATTGGATTCTATCAATGTCGGAAATAATAGACAAAGAGAATGGTATTGATTTCTGGCATTGGTTAGAAAAAAACGATGAATTATCAATGAAGGATCAAAACAATATAATGAATACATTTTTTTTCTTTTTTCACAATAAACCAAATCAAATAGTTGCTACTGGAAGTATTGTTCGAGATGATCGAGATATGGGTAAGAAGTTATCATTAGCAGAAGCTATTTGGATTGGAGGAATCAATGTTCATCGTGATTTTCGTGGGCAAGGCATTGGAATAATTTTATTTGCATATATCGATAATTATATCCAAAAAATGATTAAAACTAATATCACTGTTGATTTATTTACAAATAATTTAAAAGCCAAACATATTTATAAACGATTTGGTTTCAAATCGAAAGGCTTTATCCAAAATGATTCAATCATCGGGAATGATCCAGAAGTAAGTTAATAAATCGAGTCAGATCACTTGAATATTAGCTATTGAAGAATATTAGTCAAGCACTATAGAGTCAGGTTTTTCTCCTTGTACCACTGTAACATGCTTGCTATACGAAAGAAAAACCCGGATAAAAGCATCTTGTGTGCATTCTACAGATACTAGCGAATGTACTGCTGCACTTGGCAGAGATGGTACCGATCCAATTCCATCTCTGGCACCTAGACAATGCAAATTATATGACTTTTATGAAAATTTTCTCACAGAAGAACAATGAAGGAAATAAAAAATATTCTGTTTCAAATAATGAAAACGGACATTTTTTTGATATTAGGAATCTTTTATTAACTGAAGGATCGAGACCGGCAAAATTTTTCGAATCGAGAGCAAAAACGGCTGGTCTTGTTCATATCTATTGCGCAGTTACTATTTGACACTTGATGAAATCATGTTCAAAGTTATCAACAGCTCTTTGCTATCCTAAAACTATGTAATTTGTCACATCTAAAATGAAGCATAGGAAAAGATCAATGATATTTGATGTCTGTACATAGAGTTTAGCATTTATTTGAAGGAGATGAGCATAATAATTATCTTTAGCATACCATCTTCTTTTCGTTAGATTCAAGTGTGATATAAAATTACAGATCGATTTTTTGAATTATTCATTTTAAGAATTTGATCTGATTCTCGATTTTTATGGAAATAGTTTGAGACACAAAAATCAGTATGACCTCTTTCTAAGATATAAGACTTTTAGAAAAGTACTATCTTAGCTTACAGTTATACATTGATTGCGGCAGAAAAAAAGTCAACCTATTACCAAAGTAGTCTAACAATATGAAAAATGCTCTATTGTATCTAGCTAAATATATCTTCAATATTTTGTATATAGGATACGTTGGATGAACTCTTCGAAAAAGATTACACAATCAAATAATAACTCTTGATGATCAATGTCATGAAAACAATGATCTATCAGCCTGTTGATTTGATTCAATAATCACTAATCAACGACAAATCATGGTCTATGATGCAAAAATCATTAATAACCATTTTGTGTGTTTTTTCAAATTATTTCGTCAGAAGTCGATATATTTACTTATAAAAGGCAGTACTAGAAATGAATAAAAAGAAATCGCAAATTGTTTTAACAACTGACTCAATATAATCGATTATGTTGTCATACCAGTCTTAGAGAAGAAATGTCGGATTCCTATTCCAAACTTCCTCAGCAATGGAAAAGCGAATGAACGGCATTAACAACAAAACTTAAACTATTCTACGTACCCACACAGATCATCCATTGATTTGTTACAGTCGTTATATAGTCAATATAAAAGGCATGAACTTATCAAGTTAAAACTTTAAAAAACACTCAATATCCATTTATCAGTCATATCAATAGTTTGGATAATAATGCTAATAAATTAAGAAAATCGGAATAGGAAAAAGAAAAACAACGAGCAATTAATAAGAAGATAAACAAGAAAAAAAGTTCTAACTCGAAGTGTAGAAAGAAAACATGTGAGTTCCACACATCAACTTCTTTTTTTTTAGAAAGTATGTCGTCTTTCAGTTTTAGGGTCATTTATTTCACTATTTGCAATCTATTATAGTCAAACATGAAAGTCTTTATTCTCTTGTATTGCTGCTTCCTAGTTTTGTCTAATACAAATAGAAGAATAAATTATTCAAACTTTTGAATAGATTTGATGTTGAACCACGTCTCACAATTATTTATTAGAATCTTCTAATTATTTGAATTAATATGATTAAAATTAATAAAATCATAGAGTTTATCAAAATAAAATGGTTATGTATATTAATATTGCAACTAATACTGTATAGAGATAAAATTGTTGAAATTGAATATGATTTTACTTTTGTTTTTTCCTCTTTTATGTTCGATCATAGTAAAAGCATGTGTTTTTGTGTGCAAATATGAGACTCAACTGAATTGTTGAAATGAAAAATCATTGATTTGATAGTTTGTCAATTTTCAATATGATTTAACATTGTCGTTTATTAAAGACAATCGAAACATTCATTGAATAGTTATTATAATTAACACTAGATGAATTAACCATATTTGCTTTTCATGTTCATCATTGTTTTAATAATATACATACATGAAAAAAAAAGAAAATATTATTATTTAATTTAACTAGTTATTCATTGTTTAGCAACATTTCATTCATTTGCACTTCGACTAATTATTGCACATGAAATATTTTCATCATTTTTTTATCAGTATACTTGTTATTTGACTTTATTCCATTCATGTATATATAAAAGAATGCGATATATTTTCATTGTTGATTATCTATCTATTTGAATAGCTCGTTTTTTTTTTTGTTCTATTGTTACATCATCGAATTTAATGAGTATACTTCTTGTATTTGTTTTATAGCATCATTTTCATATTCATCCTACTTTACATCAGTTAACCCTTAAGGTGTTATGAATATTTGTTTTTGATGTTTATCATCAATGTATTATCGGACAAATCTTTCTTATCATGTTATCTTATCATAAATATAGAGCATTGGCAATAAGAAATAAAATGTTCTTACTGCTTAATTTATTCCATCCATTGGATGCATTACGAAAGAAAAGAAAAAGAAAAAGTGCATTCGAACATATAACATGCATGCATGATACTTTTTTATTAAAAAAATTTGATATATATATTCATTTGTTCGAAGATTTCGTGTATAAATAATGTCAAAAGCTACTTTTATTATACAAATTGCTTCTGTACCTGGTAATCAAGTTGGTCAACGACGATTTGAACAATGTCGTTATTTACATGATTTACTTGTGAATACATTAATTGATCGAAAAGAACAAATAAAAGAATTATCTAAATTATTTCCTCAACATAAAATTGCTCTTCGATCAGGATTTTCACAAACAGCACAATGGGGTCTAGAACCAAATATGTTTATTGAAGTAAGTAAAATTTTATTCTATGTCATAAACTTTAGCTTTCAATATAGTGAAACTTTCATATCTTGATTAACTTCAATCTAATAATACAAAATATGTAAAAAATAAAAATTCTCTAACAGACTTGATTTATTTGAAATTCTAATCATTGATTTAAATAACAAAAGAAGTTGTTATACTCATTCATTATTTATATAACAGATCTCAACACTCTATTATGTAGCTCGATAAACTTAAAAAATACAAAATTTATTTCAATCATTTGAATTTTCTAGAAGTATTGTCGCGCAGCACATCCGTCTTCGTTGCTAAGGAACTATGTAAAAGATGTCTAGTGCCTACTATCTTTCACTCTGTTAGAGAAAGATTCATACTCAATAACCTTCGATTAACGATTAATTCTGTATTGTTTTATTTTCGACACTTTTTTTTTTCAAAGAATATTTTACAAAAAATTCAGAAAATTAGATTTATTCAATAACATTAGAATAAAGTAGAAGAATTTCAAAAAGACAAACAAATATACAGAGGTTCCAAAAATCTAAACGAAAAAAAGAAAACATGAATAGCTTCTCCGCTATCTAAGAGAGTTTTTTTGTAAATAGTTTGATTACATATTCATTAAAGTTTTATTCAATATATTTCAGATAAAATCTCAGCATCTAAAGAAGTCAGACATAAAATAGTGTCTATATGACTCTTCTTCATAGAACTGTGAAATGAATTGTACTTTGTATGGCTTTAATAAGAGATGTTTCATCATAATCCAGTATATATTATTGTTTATGGTAATGAACAAGCTTCGACAATAGACCAAATACTTGATCCTGGCTCATTTTTACAAGCATTCTTAACTTCATTGACTTTTTCGGCAATAGCTACTCTACAGTTTTCCAGAATGTGAATGATTTTCGACAGTATCTGTTTCACAAAATCACTGAAATGTGATTTTAAGATAGGATTCAGTCGATATGTTTTTATCGAATTCGATCATCAAATAAAACTATTTAATTATGCCTTCTTTAGTCATAGGCAATGGAAAAAAGTATATAAATTTCAATCCTTTTATTTGATATTTTGGACTTCAAATTAGAGTTCGGTAAGTTCTGATTGCAAGCAGCGATTCAAGTTCGATATATCTTAATGGAAAAGATATACGATGAAAACAATAATTATTTTTCCGGTTTTCCACTATTTAAATGCTTTAACCTCTAAATTTGGTTAGAGTATGATACTTTCAAGAGAAAAATTTCAAGACAAGCAGTTAACATTTAACCGATATTTTCTATGTTGAGATATTCTCATCTGAAAAAAAACAAACAATATCTACATTAATTTTTCATCTCCTACACATGATTAGTTTTCATGATTAGAGTTTAACATACTCTATTTGTGATTAAATGATCAGACTAAAGAGTGAAAGTTCAAAATTTATTAATTTACAAGCAGAACTTTTAACAATCACTATACTATAATATTGATAATACACATATTAATGAATAAAATTTTTGTTTTAAATTAAAGTAATTTTATATTTTAATTTCATAGATATTTCATTCATCATTTTTTTTTTCTTTTTTTTTTCTGTATATTTAAAAGATTCATGGTAATGAACGTCAAGCACGTATGATTAGTGCATTATTTGGTAAAGCATTTTGTCAAGATGGTATAGGTATTGGTTGTGATGAAATTGAAGGACAAAATCATTCTGTATTAATTGTTAATAAAGATTGGAAAAATGAAGATGAACGATTAAATTTTGTTTCAATGATACTTCAACATTTTCCATCACTTTCAGCTCAACTTGATATTAATGGACAACTTGCATTTCATGATTATTCTATGCAATCATCATATTCATTTAATGATATTATAGAATTAATTAATAATGAAAATAATCATGAAAAATTTTTTATTGAAGAACAAAAAATGAAAAGTGAACTTGTTGATCAAACTGAATATGAAAATTTATTAATGCTACTTGAATCATCACATATGCGTAATATATTTAATATGTTACGACATGAACATGCTCGTCTTTTTTCTGGTTATGGATGTGC